GTGTATTAGCTGGACCAAGGGTTAAAAACCTGTATGCCATACTTTTTCAAAATGGGGCATAAGTAAGTTTTAGGTTGCCTTGGAGTCAAAGATAATCTAGGGGAAAGAGGATATGCACCGCACGACGCCTTTCACAGTCCAAGGATTCAAGAACAGCAACAAATTTGGCAGCCGCTCGTTAGGAACACTCTACCAGAGTTGCATCCTTTTGCTTCCTGAATAGACAATTTGGTTTACATATTCAAAAGCCGTCTGATGTAGGCTCCACAGACTATTTAGAACTCCATGTGAGAATACTGGAGAAGGTAGGCCGAATCAGCCCGTAGAACGGCGAATGCCTTTTGAGGTGCTTTTCATGATGCAGTGAGAAAGATGCTTTAAGGTAGCTAGATGCCCAAATCCTTTTTGGCATTTTTTCCTGTTGTCTTCTGGTCCATTCGCACCATACATGACAAAGGCGTGGACTGAAATATGAACGTACTGTTCGTCAATCAGAGGGGACTGAGATTCCGGTGACGACTACTTCGCCGCGTCGACACTAATTTTGGAGCGCTTTGGCATTGGAATTCCATAATTTCAAGTCATACGCAGAGAGAGTAGACAGGAACTTCCAAAAAAATCTGGAAGGTCGTGGATACATATCAGAAACAGCAGTGGTCTCAACAAGGAGCCTTGAGAAACTTAATGGAGATCGTCGTCGGAGAAGCTTAGGTCAAGCCTTTTTCAGTCGAGATGTTGTGTCTGATAAGAAAACATTGATCCAGAGTGGAACTCCCACTTGAACCTCGTAAGACTAAAGTTTGTGGAGAAGCGGGACGTGTGAGACTCGGTCGAATGCTTTCGAAATGGCAAAAAACATGGCATACTAGGCTTGATTTAAGCTGTCCATAAATACGAGCATGTTCGCCACGCAAGGACGGTTTGGGAGAAATCCATGTTGAACCTGAGCTATCAAATTTTTGGTGGCAAGGTGAGCCCAGATGGCTCACTTCAGATTGCGTTTCATCACTTTGCACGGCATGCTAGTGAATTAATAGGCCAGTAGCTGACGGGTAATAATAAGCCACAAGTTTCGTAGATTGGTATAGCAGTCGCTTCCTTTCGAGCAGAGGGAAGGTGGCCTTCGTCAAGCGACTGACGAAACATCAGGTGGAGCTATTTTTCGGCGTGGAGGACGTTTCCCTTAGGATTCTCCAATGTTTATTCTGGCCCTAACGCGCAGAACGAGTTTAGCTCGCGCAACAGCTGACAAACATCCTCCATCGTGAAGAACTTTAACTAGTCCTACACCCACACACTTGACTGTTCAGCTCACATTCGTCTACTTGATCACGAAGCTGGTCCTTTTTCGACACTTACAAACCACGTCACACAAAAAGGACTCACCTGACATTGACTGACTGTACCGTCTAGTTGGCGTAGCAACAACCAACACACCAACGTACACGCGGACGTGCCTACTTATGAGAAAACCGAACACGGTCAACACATACAGGCTCGCGCGCGAAGGCAGCAGGAAGTCAACCACAATCCACAAGCCCACGGACAATTTTGGAACAGATGAATCAGCTTTTTCATGAAGAAAACACCTTCCCTTCGTCCAGACTTTAACAGAGGGACTCCCACAAACGATAAGTTCCCTCTTGACTTGCTCCACACGCCACACTGTACTTGTTGTTATCCGCGTCGCAATTCACCACTGCCAACCATGATGAAAACTGCTTTTAGCGCATATATCTGAATTATACCATGGATAACATAACCTGTGTACTAGTAGACCAAATCGGTTAGTGGCTGTCCGCAGTTACGTCTTGACAAGGTTGGATGTGGCGAGGAGGTTGGGGCTGCATATAGACCTGCATAGTACTATCTGTAGACCTCAGATACCACTACTGGGTAACTCGTGGGTATCTCGTCCCTACCCATCAAGGAGATTGCGATTGGCTTATTTCTGCGACGGCTCACTTGAACAACACCCTACTGTTTTCCAGGGAGAGGAGTAGAATGGTGGCTAGTTTTCGTTCCATTGACCGATTTCGCATTTTATGAAATGTCAGCCCATCTTCTGTGTCCCATATGGTCAAACTTTTGGAAAATAGTTGAGATATCCTTTCCAGGAAACACTGAATGGATTTGGTGACCTGCGGCCCATCCGACTGCGTTATGGTTTTTTGGACAAAATCGCGTCAGGCTCGTGAACTTCCTGGACAATGGTCTTATAGAAGTCTCCGACTGATGCTAGTCCCAGTTTAAACTGATAAAGAAAGACTTGCATTCCTGAGAAGTCTGCACGGCAGAAGTTTCGAATCCACGTTTGGTGTTTGTGATTTCTTGCTCACTGAAACCAAAGCTCAGCACATAGTGGTCAATATATCACAGTGGAGCGTTAATCGTCACCTGATCCTTCGTTGGTGATGACCAAATCCAAGAGGGATGCGTTTCGGCCTGCGTGGTATCTGTGGGCGAAACATGGTGAGTTCAAACACTCTACTGAACAACTTTGGTCAGCACCGCTGCAAAAGGTCCACTTGATCCAACGCGCTGTAACTCCATCCGGGAGGCCTTTGGAGCGACGAAACGACCTACCAGCAAGACATGATTGAACTGGTGGTTGGAGGAGAGTTGGTCAAGTATTTCCATTAGGAATCAGTCATCTTCCGGAGAACTCGAGGAGCATCGGTATGCCACGCCAAAAAGGAGAGGGTCGGACACGCGGAGCGGGAGCGATACAAAAGGGAGAACAAGCGTTATCGGAGAGGACAATCGGGATGGACAGAACCACATGTAATTATAGACAATCACACTATCTTCCATCTATTTGATTTTGCTTGAAAAATAGAGTAGCCGTCTAACAAGACCACCGCGTCAGACACATCTGGTATAATCAGGTCTGTGTGGGTACAATATTATAGACAATCGGACTATCTTCCATCTATTTGATTTTGCTTGAAAAATAGAGTAGCCGTCTAACAAGACCACCGCGTCAGACACATCTGGTATAATCAGGTCTGTGTGGGCACAATTATTGTCAGCTCTTCTCATTTTCAGTTTTTTTCGCCCCGTGGAACTTGGTCTGCGCAGGCCTCTTGCTTTGGAGAACGTATTTTTCCACTCAGTGGGCGTAAAAGAGACTGAATAAAGATGTATCCATCCTGAGAGATTTATCTGAAATTTCTGTGTTGGACTGGACTGTATCCATGATATCCGTGAACTGAAGAAAGTGCGGCCACCTTGAACTAGTTTCGTTTGTTTGTGTGCAGGCGCGAAGATGACGGGGGATTTCCGCGCTGAAGCAAAAGAGCTAGACCAATGGATTGAACAGTTATATAATTGCAAGCAGCTAACTGAGGCACAGGTGAAAGCACTGTGTGAGAAGGTGGGCTCCTAGTATTTCGTTGTGGTCACCACAATTAGGCGAAGGATATCTTGACGAAAGAATCGAATGTTCAGAACGTCAGGAGTCCTGTTACCGTCTGTGGTGATGTCCATGGACAGTTCCACGATTTAATGGAGTTATTCCGAATCGGAGGAAAGGCACCAAATACCAATTACCTGTTCATGGGTGATTATGTTGACCGAGGCCATTACTCAGTCGAGACTGTGACTCTCCTAGTTGCTCTCAAGGTACTGTCTCCTGAATCTATGGTGACGCGTTTAGGTGCGCTTTAAGGATCGCGTTACGGTTCTTCGGGGGAACCATGAAAGCCGTCAAATTACACAGGTTTATGGTTTCTATGACGAATGTCTCAGGAAATACGGCAACGCGAATGTATGGAAGTACTTTACCGATCTTTTTGATTACCTACCCCTAACAGCCCTGGTGGATAATTCAGTAAGAATGTTACATTGTTTAAACATTCACTAGATATTCTGCTTGCACGGGGGCCTTTCACCTTCCATCGATACTTTGGATCACATTCGAGCTCTGGATCGCATTCAAGAGGTGCCACATGAAGTACGTTCTCCATCATACAGTTCCATGAGATCAAGCTGCATACGAATATTGTTTTTGCGTAGTTTTTCGGTCTACCTACTCTCACCTCGGTGCTTAAGGTCCCTTCATTACTTAGCCGGGTGACATGGGATTGGTAGCTTCAGTATAAGTACAAAGGCGTCCAGGTATCCATCCTCTAGATCAAAGCGCCTATGGGCACCAATATGTGGGTACCTCAAAGTGATTGTAGTAGCACAGATTTTCTTCCCTGTCCATCTTCTTCTCTTCACAATAAGGCTCTCAAAGAAGTGTACGGCAGCGAAGCATCGGTGTTTAACACTGACGTCAGGCTGCCCATGATGATTATGATACCGCACTAAATTATCTTATTTGACGCGTTGAATTTAATCGCTCCTGCTGACCACTGATCCATCTGAGGATGGCGGCATACCAACCCCGACTCAGTTCCTTAGAGTTTAACCGCGCTTGGAAAGCCATCGGTGACCATTTCGATGGAGGACAGCGAATCCCCCCAATGGGAATTCTTTGATAGCAACTGACAATGCATCTCAGATATCGGTAATCGAAGCTTAAAGACGTCTCACATCATCTATATCCGCAGAGATTGCCTTGCAACCATACAACAACGCAGACTTTACTGTGGCATGGCGCACGCGACCCTTGAGACCAAGGGATACACCTTCTTGAACCCACAAGTGGCGCGAATCAGTAAGCGTGATTTGGGCACTGCCTTGGTAAAGGCACGAACTGGCCTTTGCCTATTTGCGCCATTCGGCATCAAAAAGACCTTTCACTGGGTCAAGGAGAACGTGTGTTCAGACTTCAGTATGGGCTGCATTGTCGTGGATGTGTACGAAAGCTATTAATATTGACCTACGGTTTCTCGGAGCCATTGACCGAATCTGGCAGATTAGCAATGCCGATTGACATCAGTTGGTTTATCAAAAAGGAACTCTCACTATGGAAGGGCTACTCATGTTCCACAGTTTAGTGAGTAGGATATGTGCTTCGCATGCAGGAGGGCCGTCTGCCTGTTTTTGCCGGCCTCTTCCAGGTGAGAGCAATGGAGAGATGGACAGCCCATGAACGGGCAACAAAATGTGAAAGCACTAACCGGTAAATTCACTTGGGTTGACCACTGTCGCCTCCGGGGGTAGTGACCCCAGGACTCAACTTACTAATGGTTAGTGACACTGGCAGCCATGGCTCAATCACGCAGTCATTAGCGTTCTTCATCAAAGCGGTCGCCTTCAAATCTGTCCAGTTTCCTCAACAGATAGTGTCATCGCCTCCAGCGTTTGACTGTCTCCAGTGCTCTCCCATTTTCCGGTAGCAACTGGAACCCTGAGGCATACTCCCGATACTTATGGCCGAATAACAGCTGTGCTGAGGCGTATGGTGTTTGTCAGTGGTGTAGACTCCTTCAATGTGGACCACCGTTGGCGCGCAACTAGTTCCAAGGAAGCCCCTCGCGGAATCAAAGAAGTATCGCTCTGAACTTCTTATTTTTTGAAAAAGCAAGTCTTTACCACCGTAAGATTCTTCGACCTATCGTGACCACCATTGTTCTGGTTGCAAGCAGCCTGTAGCGGACTAGGACCTTATCAGTGTGTTCGGATAAATTAACAAGCAAAATAACGAATACAAAATCACGAAATCACAATAGGAAAGGAATGAGTAGTCCACTGGGGACTCACGAATGTGTAGATCCAGTAGTCCACTACACCGATCCAAATGCAGTAACTGGCTGTGAAAGGAAATATTCACTTGTCGGAATTTCCCACAGATGGTTCCGCGTGCGTGATATATTCCACGGTAGGAAAATTATTCACGGCTAAAAAATGTCACAGGGATTTATTGTGACGTTCAACAGTTGACACAAACACAGAGATCTGGTCCCACTGGTTCAGCAGTCAACAAACAGTTCAACGGAGCGTAAATACGCTCGTTCAGCAAGAAGTCAGCAGGTCGCCCCGGAAAACTGTGTATTTGTAACATTAAAACAAACGTCATGATATAATGTGAACGACAGTTACAAAGTGTGGTTTAAGTTCAGGAAGAATGGTAAATGTGACAACGGATTACAAACACTACAAGCTCATATATGTATCACCCAGGGTTGGGTTATGGATTACGTTAAAAATCGCGGGAAATCGTCAATTTTCTAGATCTAAATGGTAGTAAAGTGCTACCCACCTTCTACCTATTTGTTTGAACACTGGCTTGCCATCCGCAAAGCGAGGAAAGTTCAGTTACACAGCCGAATATTTAGCGTTAAATCATCACTACCATCATCATCCACAACACGACATCAGTGTTCAGCACTGGTGCTTGGCTGCCATACAACCCTAATTTATTTCAAAGCCTTTCTGTGAAGAAAGCCACTCGTTCCCGGGTGCCCACACCTCCATATGCTCATTCAGACAACATGGATAGAAACTGACGATAAACTCGCCACTCACATTGATTAGCAGCCATATCTTACAGCGTCTCCAACCAGGCACACTAGGGATCACGTGGTCCCCATCCTGAAAGGCGAATATCACCGATAGCAACCAAACATTTCACAATATCTTTCATACCCCCCTGGCCAGGTCAGGAGTTGGCCACTTCTCTGCTTCCATCACTCTAAATTGGGCACAGAAAACAGCACTGTTCGGAAAAGGACCATTTGGCATGCGCAATAGATTGTCTATCCAACGCAGCTTCTGGTGGTGGACACATTATTCGATTGAACTTCCCGCTGCACAACTGAATACTCGCCTTCTAATTGCCTCGTTCCGTTTTTCGAACAGCCCAAGTCTCAGCCATACACCAGAATAATCCGGACTATAGCCTGATAATATGTTCCTTGAGATTCACGGGAATACCGCTTTGACGCCATATGTGTCTCGAATTGGCAAGTGCGGCTAGAGCTTTGTAGATTTGTGTATTGACATCATCTTTCACTCTACAATCAGGACTAATGACTTCCAAGAAATGTAAAACGCTTTACAATTTTGAGTGTCACACCCGGGATTGTAAGTGGCGTGTTCATTGGCTGTATCTCCACAAGTTTGGTCGTACACGTCGTGGGTGCAAAGTGCACACCGATGGGACGACGTTGTTCAGTTCAACCAAGGACACCGCCTTCTCTTCGAAGACAAGAGCCATGTCGTCTGCATATTCCAGATCGGCAAGGCTTTCGTGAGGGGCTGTTTGAACACGGGTTTTGAAGACCTTCCAGCGTTCTCATTATCTCGTCGATCGCGAATTTAAACAAATGGAAAGATTCGACACCCGAGACGGAGACTGCTTTGTGTACGACAGCTTTCGGAAAGCTTTCCAAGCGGAAGTCTGAGAATACGGACTTCCAGAGTATTCGTCGATGGGCAAGCGTGTCGAATAAAACAGACCGGTCAACTCAGTCGAATGCTCCTCGGAGATCCAGGAATGCTGAAATTGTGGGTCGTTTGTAAGTATGGTGTTGTTCTAGCACCTGACGTAGTGTGCAAATTTGGTCAACTTAACTCCTACGAGGTGTGGATCCCGCTTGCTGCCCTTGGGTCAGTGTTTCACGAGCAACCATAAAGCGGCGAAACAAGTGACGCCAGCAACCTCGTTACGACCTAGTCAAGTTGATGCTTCTGTGGTTACCACACTCACTTTGAGCCACTTTTTTGAAAATGGGGACTATCACCGACTCTCCCCTCAGTTGTCTGGGACAGTCTGTTTTTCCCAATTGCAAGCAAACGGCAACGGCTGGCTGAGGACTTTACCCCAATCATTGAACAAGGCGGATGGGAGGTCATCCGAATCAGAAGCCTGGTGGTGCTTGAGAAACATATGCAGTCATAAACCTCCGGACTTTCCCTTTTTCCCGTCCGGGGTTCTAGGTCAGCTGCTGGCTTCAGACCAGACCTAAAGCTGTCATTTTGACGTGTTGGTCAGGCTTGAGTGGTCCTGTGGGCTACACTGGCTGGAACTTCGTTCCACAAGGTGCAAACAAGCCAGGAAGACCAAAGAGAGCAGTCAGACCAAGAGCAACGAGACCACGTATTACGAGTAATCGTACTTCTAGGTAGTCTGGGGGTAAAGTACTGTCTTCCACGATAGGAATGTGAAGGCAGTAAGGTGTTCCCCCCGGGCGATCAGTATGTCCATATTCATGAATGCTGCCTTCCCCGGCCACAAAAACCGCACACCAACGGTTGACTGTGACCGTCGGCACATTATTCGGTATGGTCAAAATACTTTTAAAACCAGAGTCCGGTGTTGCTCAGAAGATACCTACTCTTCGCAGCCGCATCAGGGATGAGCCAGTAATACCTTACTCCCTGCGCCCTTTAGTTAGGCCAACCCCCTGCAACCGAACGGGTCAGACCATTGAGTCGTCGGTCCCGGGCAAGGTCTCCGGCAAGGGAGACCGTACTGTCCGCTGCCCCGCATATCAGAGGCTAGGGACAGTGTTGTATTCTGCGGTGGCCGTCTGTGGGTTACACCTGCACTGGGCCTGCCAGAATACGCGATAGGGAGAAGACAGAGAACTGGGGATACGGCTGCATTGCCAGAACAAAACATACAGAGCGTCTGCGTAAATATATAGGACGATTAATTGGCCAAATATGGTCGTTCACTTGTTCGCTCCGTACAGCCAATGGTGGTGTTCCGGTCGTGAACAATCTCAGGCCCACTACGCTGGTCGTTTGTTGCTAAGCCGTGTTTGTTGAGAGCCGCCGACTCACCTACTTTCCGGACGTGTCGTACCGATGGTGACTTTGGGGATGCTTCACTCTTTGCACATGCTTTTTCTTCTGTCTGGGCGCGCCCTGACAGTCCCCGAACGAGATCTCTACACCTCCCACTGCCTCGTGGGTCCAACTTGTGAGTCAGGCTAGGATCAGGGTTCCCGAACAAAACCCTACATCTTCCCACTGCCTTGTGGGTCAGACTTGATTCAGTGGCTCAAGGTGGGGTTCCTCAACCAACCCTCTTTTGTCGGCCTGGGCAATCGGGAACTA